ACATAACAAAATATTTCATGTAAACAGCAATTAAAACATTAAGATACATAGAACTTAACAGAAACATCTAAATTATAAATGGAGAAAACATTAAATATTGTTATAGGCATCTGCATACATACTCTGAAAAAAGTTCTAAAGTTCTAAGTTTCTCACTTTCTGTAGCTATTTTTATTTGTAATATTTTTGTCTTTATTTTTAAGAGAGATTTCTATAGGGTACAGGTGCTTGCCAGAGAGGCGAGAAATCATGCCCCCAGGGTTGACTGGGATGGCCATGCTGCAATACCTTCTCTCCTGTTCTCCTCTCAGGATTTTGGGCATGTGCACACATACTCCCAGTGTGAATGTTAATCTACTAGGTCTGGGACCTGAACTGCAGTCGACTATGTGGGAGTCCAGCAACATAATCATTATTCCATCTCCTGGTCCAAATAGTTTTGTCTTTTTTTTTTCTTTAAAAAATTATTTTATTTAACTTTATTTATTTATTTTTAATTTGACAGAGGACAGAGTGAGAGAGAGAAAAAGAGAGAGAGAAGGAAATTAAGAAAACAAGCCACCATGTCTAGGATTCAAACTGTAGTCAGCCATGTGGGAGTCCAGCACCCCTTAACCACCACACCACCTGCTGGCCTAGTTGTTTTGTCTTTTAACAATCATACCAGGGACCAGAAGATGGCGTAATAGCTATATCACTAGACTTCCACATAGTCGACCAGGGTTTGAGTCCCAGACCCAGTGACTTAAACTCACGCAGGGCACGTGCACATGCATGCCTAAAATCTGAAGAGGAGAATGAAGGAGAAGGGATTGCCATCCCCCCGAGAGGTGATTTCTCACTTTCTGTCTCTCTGTCTCTGTCTTTCTTGCAAGCTCACGTGCCCTATAGCAAAAACCTCTCCAATAAAAAAAAAAGTAAGCGCACATTCAAATTCAGAATACTATACTAATATTATGGTGATGTGCAAATCACTTATATCCTTAGGGTGAATTTGTTTCTTTTGTTTATTTTTAGAGCGGGTTTTGCCATAGGGCACATGTGCTTGCCAGAAAGACTGTCAGAGACAGAGAACAGAAAGTAAGAAATCATCCCCCAGGGAGATGGCCATCCCACAGTCCCTTTTTCTTCATTCGCCCCTCTGGATCTTGGGCACGCATGCAGACGTGCCCAGCGTAAGTTTAAGCCACCGGGTTCGGGAATGAAACCATTGTCAACTACATGGGCATCCAGAGACATAGCCGTTACACCAACTGATAATCGTAATGTGTGCTTATTTTTTATTGTGAATTTGAATGTGTGCTTACTTTTATCAGTGATTCTTATACTTTTAGAAGTTTGAACCAGGAAGATGGTAACTAAATGAGGTCATGCATATGTTAATTAGCTAGATTTAGTCATTTCACATTGTATACACACTTAAAAACATTGTTATAAACAATAAATATTAATACATATAATTTTATGTCAATTAAAAAATGACAAATAAAATTTCTTCCCACAAAATGATATAGCATACTATTGGAGAGGAGACGCAACATTTTAATGATTCCACTTCTTCATATTATTTTATATATTTATTAAAATTTTAATAAATTAACTGTTCTCTCTTGTTTGCTATATTAAACAACATACTTTTCTTTATATTCATGTAAAATAATAAACAAATAAAGCCAAATATCCTCTTACAAAGTGTATAGAACAGAACCTCACCAGATATTAAAGTGTATTATTTAGCTCCAATAATGAACAACATAGCACTATTGCAGTGATAGTTAACAAATATAGCAAAATATTTTGTAGTTCCAAGTATTTATAGTTCCAAAATAAATTCAAGTCACGTGGGTAATTTGGCAGGAAATGTGGTATATAATAAAACGCCATCTTAAATCATTAAGGCAAGATGGACCATTCAATAATCAATGTGAAAAAGCTGGATAACCATTAAAATAATCGATTTATATGTAACTTTCATCATCCTCTGAGGTAAACTTGTATAGATAAGTTTTAAATATAAAAAAATGAAAATATAAAAGTGTTAGAGAAATGTTGGAGAATTTTTACATAAATTTTGATGGGGAAGGTCATTTAGATATAAGAAGGAAAAACTGACTCATGAAAAAAAAAAAAGTCCTGTTTATGAAAGACATCAGAGAGGGACAGAGTGAGAGAGAGAAAGAGAGAGAGAGGGAAAGCAAGATGGCAAATCATCAGGTCCAGGGCTTGAACCATGGTCGGCCATGGGGGAGTCTAACACCGTTAACATCTATGCCACCTGCCTGCCTCCAAATAAAATAATTTTTTTTTGAGAGGTTGCCGCTATAGGGCATGTGCACTCACAGACAGGCAGAGAGAGAAATAGAGACAGAAAGCAAGAACTCACCCCCCAGGGGGGATGGCCATGCCGCAATCCCTTCTCCTCCATTCTCCTCTCAGGATCTTGGGCACACACGCACACACACCCGGCGTGAGTTTTAAGCCACCGGGTCCAGGACACGAACCGTGGTCAACTACATGGGGGTCCAGCGACATAGCCATTATGCTAACTGCTGGTCCTTCCAAATAAAATAATTTTAAAAATTGTTCCACAAAGAAACATACTAAAGATATATGGCCTTATAGTTAAGTTCTTCCAATTTGTTTTTTTTAAAAAGAGTTAATTACAATACTACAGAAACTCCTACAAAACAGAGGAATACTTACTAATTAATTATATGAATCTAATATAAACATGTTTGAGTTATTTATTCTCAGGACACTGAATATACAATATTTATGACCTACCAGTAACTTGTTTGATATTTTTTCTTGTGTCTGATCTGTTAATAATTCCATCCACTGACTATTTTCTTACTTACACAGTAATACTTTTCTATAACCTCACAATGATAAACAATCAAGTTACATGAGGAAGATTGAAAGTTTTGACATATTCTGCTTGGCCTCCTAGCTCTTTCCTTTTTTTCCAATGATATATGAGACTTTAAAGCAAGAGGTGCATGCCACAGGGAAATTTGCGTTGTGAACTATCTCTATTTTACAATTCAGTTGGAAGATACACAGTTTACACAGTATTCCCTAGGAAGCCAGAACTCACACTTCTACCGGTTTTAGGTTTGTTAACCAAAAGTGACTGTAAATCAGGAAATTCCTACTAAAAGATTTCTTGGAAAAAACTTGGATGAAAGATTTCTTGGATATTTCCTAACAAGTATTATCTGACCACTTAACTAAGAGATTTATTTATGTTTACAAGGAGATTGCATGAGAACGCTATGTTGTAAAATTATCTGGGAATATAACTCCCATTAATGACCGATAGGCTCTCTGCCAAACTTAATTAGTTCCTTCTTTCAGTCCCCAAAATTCCAGGATTTACATCATTTGTTTAAAATTCCATCTCTTTGATTCCATAACTCTTTTTCTACCAATATTATCTATCCTGTATAGATTCTTCAGCAAATTTATTATAATTATTTTAAAACCCTTGTCTGATATTTCTAAGTCTGGATCATCTTTGTATTTGCTTCTACTAAGTATTGTCTTGAATATAGGTCACATTTTTTTTTTCAGTAATCAAATTTTTTATTACAGCACAGACATTGGTTTCAACATTTAAGTGTAAAGTAAATAGATTATACATGCATATGTATGCATGCATATATCTACATCTACACACACACGTGCAAATTATCTACCACAATGAGGAGACTAGGATGAACACATAATAATTTGTCCATTATAATAATACTTCAAGATTTTTTCCTAATTTTCTTTAAAAAATATTTTTGAGAGATTTTTACTATAGGGCATGTATGCTTGCTGAAGAGACAGAGAGATAAAAAATGAGAAATCTCCCCCCAGGGGGGATGGCCCTGCTGCAACCCCTTCTCCTCCATTCTCCTCTCAGGATTTTGGGCATGCACGCCCATGCATCTAGCATGAGTTTTAAGCTAGATGGGTCTGGGGCTTGAACCATAGTCGACTACGTGAGAGTCCAGTGAGATAACCATTATGCCATATGCTGGTCCCCCAAACGATTTTATATGTAGCCATAATACATTTTAAAAATGCATTGAATTTATTCTTTGTATACAGTTTCTTATTTTACAATTAAAAGATCATTCCTTACAATTAATAATTAGTAATTCAGTTAAATTTACTTATTTTTGAAAAAATCAGGTTTGAGAGTTATGATTTTGTTCTTATTTTGGTGCTCTATTTCTTTTTTTCTTTTGTTTTGTTTTGTTTTTGTTTTTGTTTTTGTTTGGGGGGGGGAGAGGTTTTCGTTATAGGGCTTGTGCGCTCGCCAGACAGACAGAGAGAAACATAGAGACAGAAAGCGAGAAATCACGCCCCAGGGAGGATGGCCACGCCGCAATCCCTTCTCCTCCATTCTCCTCTCAGGATCTTGGACACGCACGCACACATGCCTGGCGTGAATTTTAAGCCACCGGGTCCGGGATGCGAACCACGGTCGACTACGTGGGAGTCCAGTGACATAGCCATTATGCTAACTGCTGGTTCCCAGGTGCTCTATTTCTTAGTCCATTTTTAAGATGAGAAACTTGGGCTTTATTATCTTTTAGGTCTCTTTCAAACACAATATAGTACAGATATGGAAGCTTATTTTGAGACAGATGTCAAATTTATCTTTCCATGTAATTTGACAACTGCCCCAATCAATGTGAATTCAAGTTTATAAAAAGTTGTATCATTTTTTTGTCTCTCTTTTTTCTTTTTTTGTGAGTTTTTTGCTAGAGGGTGCACCAGACAGAGAGAGACAGAGAGACAGAAAGCGAGAAATCACCCCCCAGAGGGGATGGCCACGCTGCAATCCCTTCTTCTCCCTTCTCTCGGGATCTTGGGCATGCACACACACGCATCCAGCGTGAGTTTTAAGCTACCGGGTCAGGGACACGAACCGCGGTCGACTACGTAGTAGTCTAGCGACATAGCCATTACACTAACTGCTGGTCCCTTTTTTGTCTCTTTGAAAGAATCTGAAGCTGGAAAATGCAAAGTGGCTATCGATGCCTACTTTTTTCTCACTGGAAACTGGAATGAAGGTGCAGTCTATGTGAACAAACCTGAAGGCATGAATAATATGTGTGAGTTTCCATGTGAAAGTACTATAAAGGTAAAGCAAATTTATGTAGCACTTTCCCATTTGCCTCCTTAGCTTACATAATAATTGTCCTAATTGATAAAAATGCTAGAAATGTTAATGTACAGATTGTTTAGGGTACAAGATATACATAGCTTAATTATTTTTTATTTTTGTGAGGTTTTTGCTATAGGGCACGTGCGCTTGTCAGAAAGACAGAGAGACAGAAAGAAAGAAATAACCCCCCGGGGGGATGGCCATGCTGTAATCCCTTCTGCTCCATTCTCTTCTCCAGATCTTGGGCACGCATGCACATGCACCCGGTGTGAATTTAAGCCACTGGATCCAGGACTCGAACCACAGTTGACTACATAGGAGTCCAGCGACATAGCCATTAAGCCAACTGCTGGTCCCATGTAGCTTAATTTTAACTTTGCAAATAAATTCTCAATAATCTATTTGCAAATCTGTATTTTCTACGTTTATTATAGGGGAATGTAACAAAAAGTTTGAAGGACCATTTCATCCATATTCTTTTTGTGTTCTATTTGTGTTATAATGTGCTGACTGATTAAAAAACATTGTGATACCACCTTTTGTTCTGAGATAATAATAGACTACCATTGTTCTCTGGGTATAGTTAAAACTCTAGGAGATTTCCAATCCCTGAGCAATCTTACCAAACTTCTGGAACTTGTAGCAAGAATAAAAAGAAAGGTCTGTCTCCTCCTCTCACTCCCATTTTGTGCAAATTAGAATTATATTTTTTAATATGAACGTGAGTACAAAAATGTTAGGATCTTAATTTTATTTATTTATTTACTTTTTATTTTGTTAAGAAAGGTTTTTGCTATAAGGCACGTGCCCTCACCAGAGAGACAGGAAGCAAGAAATCTCCCCACAGGGGGATGGCCACGCCACTATTCTTTATCCTCCTGTCTCCTCTTGAGAGTTTGGGCACACATGTACATGCACCTGGCGTGAGTATTAAGTCACCAGGTTCAGTACTTGAACTGCCATTGAATATGTGGGAGTCCAACAACATAACCATTACGCCATCTACTGATCCCACGATCTTAATTTTAAATACATTAGAGAAGTAGTTTAAGAGTTTTCCAAAAAGTTCAGAGAACAAATTATTTGTAACCTCTCTTATCTCTACACAATCTTATTTGGTCATTATACTAAAAGGTATCCAAATTCTAATTTTATGTTTTGTGTATCATTAACATGCAATTTTTACATAAAGATTTGCAAGCCTCTCTCTTTTTTAAAATTGTTATTCTTTTCATGAGAAAGAGAAAGAGAAATAGGCACCAATAAGGTCTTCATGATGCAAATTGCCCTTGGCCTCAGCCAGGCGCGTGCATTGGCATGTACAGGGAGGTCCCTGGAAAGGAACCCAGGGCCTTGGTATGTGGGTCTATCTGCTTTACTGCTGCAACACCATGTAACTTCCATAAATCTTTTTTCTTTCAGTCTTCCTTTCTTCTTTTTCTCTTTCTTTCTTTCTCTCTTTCTTTCTTTCTTTCTTTCTTTCTTTCTTTCTCTCTTTCTTTCTTTCTTTCTTTCTCTCTTTCTTTCTTTCTTTCCTTTTTTTTCTAGAGGTTTCTTATGTTAGGGTGTATGCCCTCACTGGAGAGAGTTAGAGGGAATGTGAGAAATCACCCTCCAGAAAGCATGGCCATGCCACAATCCCTTCTCTTCTTTCTTCTCTTGGGATCTTAGGCATGCACGCACATGCACCAACATGATTTTCAAGCCACTGGCTCCAGAACTCAGATGGTCAACCATATGGAAGTCCAGCGATCTATTCACTACATCACCTGCTGGCCCCATAAATTATTTTTTTTTAATGAACATATCCATTAACATTAATCTGATCTTATGAAAAATAATATGTCACCTTTTCCTTCAAATCCACCAAATATTGCTGTGACAGCTATAAGAAAATAGACCTCAATTTCCTCAGACCTTTTAAAGCGTGCCCTCGAATATGGTTTTTTATGTTTTTACAATTCATAAGTATATGGAGTAAGCGTAGAATGTTTTCCTTACAATGTATTTAACCAATCACAAAAACTTAATATGTTTTCCTTACAATGTATTTAACCAATCACAAATACATGAATATGCACACAGCTAATTCAATTAACACTTTTAACTTTAATCTTTAAGATACACTTAATTTTAACATACTAAAGATAAGTATACAATATTTTAATAAATTTTCTAATTAAATAACTGTAAAACTTTTCTTAGAAAACAAATCATTTTTAACAGCATATATATCTATATTTACCATACTCTTTTACTCTTTTATAATAAGTTCAAATATTAAATAAAGTAAGCACTTTTTTCTGATTTTAGATTTTTACCCTAGGATGCATGTGCTCATCAGAGAGAGATGGGAAACAGAGTAAGAGAGAAAAAGTCAGAAATCACCCCAAAGGGTGATTTGGATGGCCAGATTGCAATTCCTTCTCTTTGACTCTCCTCCCAGGGTTTTGGGCACACACATACATACGCCAAGATGATTTCCAAGCCACCAGTCTGGGACCTGGACCGCACAGTCAGCCGTGTGGGATCCAGCACATTCACAAACGTATCACCTGCTGGCTCAGCATTACTTCTTCAGAGTTCGTAAAATACACAAAAATAATTATCCAAGAATATGTTAGCCATTTTATCTTTTCACCATTGCACATTTTATATAACTTTAACAACTTTCTAACATAGAAGAAATAAATATAAATATAAATCTCTTAAATACATTAGTTTATCCTATTCCATAAGAAACAAAGGTATATTAAAACCATATTTGGAAAATATGTGTGTATTTTCCTCCATTGAAAGTCATTAATTCAGTTAAATATGTGTAAGTTCTTTAAGTTGACTAAAATTTAGAAATTGCAATTTACACCATTATGTTAAATCCTTCTGGTTAGTGAAATGCATCATTGTAGTAGAATAAAATATTCACAAAATTAGTAACTTCTATAAAATTTTCAGTATTTCAGTTTTACGCTTTTATAATCACAGATAGTTTGAGGAAACAGAGATAGTATGGGTCTTCTAAAGTTTTAAATAATTCTAATTTATCTAAGGTGTCATTTACTTATTAGAAAATTACATGGGCTCTTTTAAAATAAGTAAACCTCTTTTGAATGTATAAATGAATACACTTCTGTATTTATATTTCTTCAAAAGTGAAGATTTTTTTAGTTTAAGCCAAAAGCTTTATAGGCTTAATTTTCTCTACATCTAAGAGATTAGCGACGTTACCCACACACCCAGGTTCACTTTTCTTCTTTGTTAAAGTTTTTGCAAGAGGAAAGCATTAATAAAGCACACAATCGTTTTTCTTTTCTATTTTTTACTAGCTGAACAATAGTCTGGGTATGTTCATATAATGATACAGTTTCTATGACCAATTTTTAACATTGTAACTACTGATTTACAATCATTATACATCTTTGTGGGATATGGCAAGTGTTTTGCTTTATTTGTTTTGTTTTGTTTTGTTTTGAGAGGTTTTTGCTATAGAGCACATGTGTTTGCTAAAAAGACAGAGAGAAACAGAGAGATAGAAAACAAGAAATCATCCCCTGGTGGGATGGCCACGCCACAATTCCTTCTCTTCCATTCTCCTCTGGAGATTTTGGGCATGCACACACACGTGCCCAGCATGAGTTTAAGGAGCTGAGTCTGGGACTCAAACCATGGTACACTATAACTCTAACATAAATATTACTCCATCTGCTGGTCCCCACAGTAGGCTTTTTAGGCATATACAGAATGTGTAACAATCAAATCAAAACACATATTGACCCTTCAACAAACCAAAAATAGATAAGTGAGATTATGATCTATTAATTTAAAGTTCTTCCTACACAAAAAAGGGTAGAAGAAAAAAGCAAATAGGAATAAGATGGACTATATACATTCAGGCAGAAGCAAGAAATTATGACTACAGAAGGTTAGTTATTTTCTATCTACAAAAAAGTAGTAGATTCTTAAATGCAGAAAAACCATTTCACACATACACACACAAGCTCTAGTTATTATGGGATGTTTAAACAATAACCCATATACCTGACGATTTCAGAAAGCCATATAATTAAAACTGTAATGCTTATTAATCCCAGTAGTATGACAATTAAAGAGGGATCTAGTGCATTAAATGGAGTAATCTTTCTATTAGACACATAGGACAGAAAATTTCCTCATGAGATTTTTTTTTCCTTTTTTGTTCTATTACATCTGTCAAATGAACAATCTTGTTCATGTCAAAATTTCCCCAAAGTGGCCACTGCAATTTCAGATTTCCTTTGAGAAATTATTCCAATTAGAAAGATATGAACATGAATTCTAATGTGAAAGGAGAAAGGTGTGGTTTGAGGCATACGACTGAGAAAAACCTGTGAAGACTCAATCAGCTAGCATGCGTGACGGTCTTGTCTCTAAAATGTTTCAAAGATGAGTCAGTCACAACCGAAGGCCAAATAAGGAGAATTTACAAGGTTTTGAAAAGGGTACTCAAAGAAAAATTTTCCACAGAATACTAGACTGATGTGACCATCTAAACTCAGTCATCAGACCACCTGCATGATGAAGCTACGTGACCTGTGGTTGTCTTCTTCCTATTGACTCTTGAGACAGTGATGATGATGGGGAGAGTCATTCTCTAGGTCAAATTGGATCATATAATAAAAGGTTTCTTAGGTTGCGTTCCTATTGACTCTTGAGACAGTGATGACGATGGGGAGAGTCGTTCTCTAGGTCAAAGTGGATCATATAATAAAAGGTTTCTTAGGTTGCTTTCTTATTCTGAAAAGAAAAAAAAATTGTAGAATTTGGAAATAAGATGAAAAGAAATTGGAGATGAAACCTGATTCTGTACTAAATTCCCTATCAGAATTGAAGAGAAGAATATCCAGTGGTTTCAAAATAGTAACTACACTATTTGCTAGCCAGGATCCTGAGCCCTGGTAGCGAGAGCATTTTAAGTGGGTATTTGTGGATTTTTGAGTTTGTTGTTTTATCCTCCCAGAGATCACTAAATTTTTCTGTTGATTTTGAAAATTAATTAGGCTACATTTACTAGACTTTTAATTTAGACCATATATTTAGACCATATAATTTAAGTGATTATTACTTTAGACTTTCTATGATAAAGGAAAAAACACCTTGGATGAGTCTTAGTGGTGTCTCAAAAAGCAGGCATTGCGGAAAGATATTTATATGGTGCTAGAGGTGGGAAGTAACTAGTAAGGGGCGAATAAAAGCTCTGTGCTACTGGCACAAGATAATGAGAATCTTAAAATGAATCTTTATGAGCAAGTTGTTAGTCTTGGCAAATAATTTATGTTAGTTGGTCCATAGTCTTATTTCCCAGGAGTAAGCATTTCATGGAGCAAATAGTTATTTTGGATTATTCTCAGTATTTGTTAATAGATGACAGGAAATTAGGTTTATTTCTGTTCTCATTATCAAACACTGAAATTCTAAAAGTGTTCTTCATTTATTTGTGTTAAAATGTGCCCTTTCTCTGAGGTCCTTTTTAAATGCAAATGCTTTTGGATATGAAGAGCATAAATATAACTAAGTTTACCTTGTTTTCTATACTTCTGCTACAAAAAGGTTATAAGTTTATATATTTTTTACAAACTACTCTTGCGAGAAGCTACTCTCTAAGCAAAGCGTAAGAGTCAAAGAACACAAAAATTAGAATGTAAAAGGTCTTTACAAAGTTTAATCTACTTCAGAATTTTCAAGTAGGCTCAAGTCAGTAAATTTGGACATTAGTTCATCCAGATACAATTTTAAAATATACTTACATATAGCTAAGAATATAATTAGGACAGTCCTCTTTCCCACAGCCTGACCACACATTAGACAGTTTCTTCCTGACTAAAACTCCTGCATTTATTTTTTATGGAGAAAGTATTTCAGAAAATTAGCCATTATAGATTCTTTCCCTGCCATTTAAAAATGTATGTACATCTTTTCCAAGCTTCTAGACATATTTTACAATGCAGGGGTATCTTTATCAAGAACCTTGGGTCCTACATTCAAAAATGTAAACATTAAAGGAAATAGACCCTTATTCCCAGTCTCTGCAACACAAAAGGACTACTCCCAGAACACATCTCTGCAATTTTAGGAGTAACACAATGTGCTTGACATATTCCATTGATCAACCTTCCCCTTAATATCTTCCAGCAATTTTTCACTAACTCAAACTTTTTTTATAAATACATTGCAAATATCCTTCATTTAGCTTAACTTATATACAAAAGAAGTTATTTGAAATAATATTGTGTTATATTTATACATGCATAAAAATAAATTATCAAGAAGGAAATTTCCAGCAGTTTTCCTTCAGTTTTTTTCCTAACTGGGAAGAAAAGATCACCCACTATTGAGATTTGTCATTTTATTACCTTTTTTTATTAAGTAAACTTTTAAAAAATGTAAAATTGGCTTTTCATACAATAAAAAATTAATAATCGATAATATGTGTTGGGTTGTCAGGAAAATCATGACGTAAAATACGTCATGATTTTCCTGACAACCTAGTATTTATATGTTGGGTTGTCTGGAAAATCATGACGTATTTTTTTCTATGAAAAAAATGTGTCATGATTTTCCTGACAACCTAGTATTTATATTATGTATCTATATAGTTACTGAATTTTCTCAAATAATATTTATTACCATTTATAGCTTTTATACTAATCTTAAGCATTTAAATAAATACCAACATTATTCTTTGATAAGAAAGTTTTTTTTATTTTAGTTTTGTCAGAGGGCATGTATATTCACAAGAGAGAGACAGAGAGTGAAAGGAGAAAGCAACTTCCATGGAAAAGGGTCACACTGATATCCCTTCTCCTTCATCTCTCACTTTTTGGGATTTTGAGCATACACACGCACACACCCAACCTGTTTCTAAAACTCCTGAGTTCAAGGACAGAGCCATTATGCTAACTGCTGGTCCCAAGTGATTGATATTTTAAATTTACCTTTAGGGATTAGGAAAAGATATCTGGAATTCAATACTCCATGAAAGATGCACTTTCTTATGATAAAATTACCTAACTCTGTCAGATAAATCTATGGGGTATGTGTGTGAAAAGCTTTCAAAATTGTTTAAATACTTGTTTTTAAAAAAAACATAAAATAATGACTTTCATGCAACTCAAAATTGTTTAAATACTTGTTTAAAAAAAAAAAACATAAAATAATGACTTTCATGCAAATAAAAAATATATGTTTGAGGCCAGCAGGTGACATGGTGGTGGCTAAGGTGCTAGATCCCCCATGGCTGATTGTGTGGTTCAAGTCCTGGATTCATCAGCCTGAAAAGTACACTGGGCACATGTGCATGCATGCCCAAAATTCAGAGGAGAACATAAGAGAAGGGATTGTGGCACAGCCCTCCAGCCAGGAAGTGGTTTCTCACTTTCCCTCTCTATTACTGGGGAGCACACACACCCTATAGCAAAAATAAATAAAAAATAAATGTGTTCTAAAGATATTATTTAATAATAATTTTAAATAAGGAGTCCATTAAATAACCCACAATCATGGGAAAAAATATTTAGTGATAACAGGAAATGACCTCCTTACTTGTTAGATCTGTTTATTAATATAATACTTTTTCTACCATTATCCCTTAACTTTTATACAATATCAGTATTTTTATTAAAATCAAATACATTTTTTTAAATCTGTATAATGGGTATTTATTTGTTTGGCTTTTAAATGATTTGACTATAAATTGAATATAACTGTTGAAAATAATGTTCATATATTCAAAACTAAATTCTTTTATACTTATGAGAGGAATATATTTTTAATTTTTTTGTTTTTGGAGAGGTTCTCGCTATAGGGCGCGTGCGCTCGCCAGACAGAGAGAGACATAGAGACAGAAAGCGAGAAATCACCCCCCAGGGGGGATGGTCACACCGCAATCCCTTCTCCTCCATTCTCCTCTCGGGATCTTGGGCACACATGCACACGCGCCCCGCGTGAGTTTTAAGCCACCAGGTCTGGGACATGAACCGTGGTTGACTACATGGGAGTCCAGCAACATAGCCATTACGCTAACTGCTGGTCCCCTAAATATTTTTAAATTTCAGTTTCTTTTATACATTTAATCACATATGTCACTTTGCTTGCAAAATGAATATCCCAACATGTACACATTTCTTACCAGTCCAGTTGAGAATACTATACACATTATGTTCAAGAGATAATGACCCATTTCTTTGTCCCATAAATGCCTGACCTATTTTTCTCCTTAATGTCCTTCCTCAGACCCTTCTCCTTTACCAACCCTCTGCCCACACTGTATCTGGTATCTATAACCATTTTCTATGTTTCCATATCCTCTAGTCATTCAGTTTCAGCTATAGAGTGCAAATTGTCGGTATATATTAAGTGGAGACTTACAATGACTCTCCTTCATAGCCTGGCTTACTTCACTCAGCAGTAAATCATTATTTTAATACATAAATAAAGCTATGAAATTCTATCTGAAATGTCTATTATATTGTTTGTAATTGGTATTTACAAAATTCTTTTTTATTCATAGATTTGTGCAAATGGACACAGTTTGTTGAGCAATGAAGACAGACGAGGATACATGTGTCCATATGTTCTCAGATGGGCTGGCAAAATGTATCTGAGAAATACAACTGGCTATCAAGAAAATGGGTGTCAACATGAACTTATTTGTAAAGATGAAATTAATAAACCCAGGTATTTATGTATGTTAGAGCAAAGAATATCACCTATGTATTAAAAAGTTCTAATTACACAATTAAGTCATAGTTGTACTGCTTCATATTTTATGGCAATCATTTTTTAAATGATTGGAATTAGAGTCAACAGGTGGTGTAATGGTTAAGGCATTGGACTCCCATGTGGCCAACTTCAGTGAGTTCTGGACCCAGTGGCTTGGAACTCACACTAGGTGTATGTGTGTGCATGACCATATTCCTGAGAGGAGAATGGAGAAGGGATTGCAGTGTGGCCATCCTGTCTGATGGGTGATTTCTCATTTTTTGTCTCTCTGTCTTTTTCTTTCTTTCCAGCAAGTGCACAACTCATATAGCAAAAATCTCTCCAAATAAATAAATAAAATGATTGGAATTTATATATCAGATATTTATATATACATATGTAGATAATCATAGATTATGTTATAAAAAACACATACTATATAATACATATAACAATTCATGTATTACACAATACCATAACCAAAAAATGGAAAGAAAAAAAGATCTATGTAGGAGATACTTCTCTATATCACACAGTAACTACTAATATAATTTTGTAGTAAGTTCTGATGAGATGTATATGGAAAGCTCCAGAGCAACTATTTAAGAAATGATTCTAATAATATAGGAAAAATAGGATTAACTGAATTAAAATATTGCCCTAGATAACAGTTACATAAAGGAAGTAGTATCAGAAAAACAAAGGCACAAAAAGCCATGAAACATCTGAGCAATGAAAATGTAAAATGGCAGACATAACTTCAATTAGGTTAATAGTATTTACAATGAATAGATTAAAATATTCAATTTGATTATGAGAGCAAATAATTTCTAGACTTAGACAACTATAGGTCAGTTAGGGTGGCACAGTGGTAACAGGATGCTCTGTGAGGCTGAATGATGCTTAAGTTACAGATCAGACACTGATTAATGTCTCAGGGTCTCCCCGTACCTGCTGGGAGCACACATGTGTGTTCATAATCCTGGATGTTGAGTCTGGAGGGAATCACAGAGTGAAGTTCCTGCTGGGCTGGCCTCTGGCTCTTTCTTTCTTTCTCATGGAAAATATAAAGAATAACAATTTAAGAGACAGCAGATGGCATAATGGTTACATCACTGGACTCCCATATGGCGGATCACAGTTTGAGTCCTGGACCCAGTGGCTTGAAAAATCATGCCTGGCTTGTATGCATGTATGCCCAAGATCTCAGGAAGAGAATGAAAGAGAAGGGATTGTGTCATGGCCATCCACCCTGAGGGGTGATTTCTCACTTTCTTTCTCACTGTCTCTGTCTTTCTCTCCAGCAAGCACACATGCCCTGGAACCAAAAAAAGAAAAAGAAAAAAAAAATCCTGTCTCAGAAAAAAAAAAAAAAGAATAACAACTTAAAAAACAGACTAGTATATAATGTACACAGAAGACATACTTTACATTCAAAGACAGAAAATAGGTTGAAAGTAAAAGAATGGGGAAAAAATGTACCATTCATATAGTGACCAGTTCAAGAGCAGGAATATGTCCTGGTAGACGCTGCTACTTGTCAACCTGATACTTCATGGAAGGCTCCAGTTTGATTTCCTGTCTATGGCAAAAAGCTGGACATAGTAATGAACATGGGTAGTCCCAGGAACTTGGAAGCATCATGACATAGACCCCATCTAAAAATGGAACAAATCACCTTCCTCCTCCTACAAAACTCAATAGTTACAAGAAAGCTGGAGAGTCTGGGTTGTACTTATATAAAAGTAGACCTTAAAACAGAAACAGTTTCTAAAGGAAAAGAAAGACATTTTATAACAGCAAAAGGGCCAAACCATCAGAACATGAGACAAAGATACAACAGAGTCGCAGAATACATGGAGCAGCAACTAACAGAATTGAAGAAAGAAATAACCAATTCAACAACAGTAATTGGAGACTCTAATACTTCACTTTCAATGGTGAATATAACACTTGGCAGAAAATGACCAGAGAAGAAAAAAGATGTGAACAGCGCTATAAATAATGTAGAACTAGCAGAGATGTATGAAATACCATTCAACAACAGCAAAAGAACCTTCTTCAATGCAAAGGGAACGTTTTGAAGATAGAACATATGCTGCAATATAAAACATATTTGAAAGGATTCAAATAAGGAAAAGAATGTTCTCTGAAAACAACTGAGTAAGATTAGAAATTAAGTTAATTTATATTAATGTGGAAATTAAATATCATAATCTACATTAACCAATGGACAAACAGAAATTACAAGAAAAATTAGAAATTAAAATGAAGGCTGTCCCCATAGCACAGTGATTACATTTTGTTTATGTTGAGTCAGATCACACAAGATCGATGTCAGTTAGATTTTTAGTTAAAATTGTGATGTAACTGAAAGAAATCTAGAGAAATATCTTCGTAGATTTAAGATGGAGGAAATTTTGTTTGCAGGAGAGACAAAGAGAAATGGAGAGGAGAAAGCACCCTCCATTGAGTAATGGGCTCCCCACAATCCCTTCTCCTCTATTTCTCCTGCTTTTGTGATTTTTAGACATGCACACACAAGCACTCTGCGTGTTTCTTAAGATGCCACATCCAGGACCCAAAATGAGCTTCGAGCATGTGGGATCAGATTGGTTTAACTATCACGCCATAGACCTGGACCAACAATGAAGAACATTTTATACTAAGCTTGCAAATTAAAATTTATAAAGCAAAAGAATGAGAGATGGCCACACCACAATCCTGTCTCCTCAATTTTCCTCTTGAGATCTTGGGCATGCCCACACACATGCGCTATATGAGTTTTAAGCCACTGGGTCTGGAACTCGAACCACAGTCAACTCTGTGAGAGTCTAGCAACATAAATATTATGTCATCTACTGGTCCCAGAATTAATATCTTAATATCTGGACTGGACTGTTAAGTGTTTATGGCTGATCTCTTTTTGGTTTTGTTTGTTTGTTTGTTTATTTTCAGTTTTTCTGTAGGGTGCATGAGTTTACCAGCGAGTCAGAGATCAATCTATCCACCCCAGGGGGGATGGCCATGCTGCAATCCCTTCTCCTCCAGTTGCCTCTTGGGATTTTGAGCACACATGTGCATGTATTCAGCATGATTTTCAAGCCATTGTATCTGTGACTCAACTGCGCAACTGGCTGTGGTATCCAGCACCTTAACCTCCACACCGTCTGCTGGCTCCACTCGAATCTCTTTTTCAAGCTTCAAATGTATGCCTAAGTCACCAATTCCTATTTGCAACCAGAAGTTGCAGAACAAACTGAAATATGTTCATTTATACACTTAACAAACATGACTGAATAGCTTTTGATTGAAGACATTATGTAAAATGTTGTGGAATTACATCTAATCCTTGTCCACAGGTAATACACCATTCATAGGTAAATTTATATTATCTTCAGAACACGTCATGATTGTTCTTTTTCATTGACAAAGCAAATATCCATTTAATGTACTAAAATAGCTCATTTTTCTAATGAATTTATAAGTAGTATGTATTTTTGCAATGTGTTTTTGGCTTTCTTTCTGGAAGGTTTAAATTAAACCTATTTCCTTTACAGGCTAGTTTAGGAAATTTATGATTTCTATGTGATGCTAAATATAACCAAAATACTATTTTTCAGTTATAAGCAAGAGTTCAATTTCAAAGTGTAAAATTTGAAAATCCATGATAAAATTAGTTATAGTTTCAAAATCTATTTCTGTAGAGTCAGGAAACTTGTAAAGAAAAGACTTTTATTGAATTTGCCACAGAAATATATTTTTACCAGGGTTTTCTTAAACTATTTCTGAACCAAGAAGTCTAATAATTATTTATTCCTAATATTATTGTAACTTCCGCCACAATGTCGGTGACTTTTTTTTTTTTTTCGCTATAGGGCGCGTGCACTCGCCAGACAGACCGAGAGAGACATAGAGACAGAAAGCGAGAAATCACCCCCCAGGGGGGATGGTCACGCCGCAATCCCTTCTCCTCCATTCTCCTCTCGGGATCTTGGGCACACACGCACATGCGCCCGGCGTGAGTTTTAAGCCACCGGGTCTGGGACATGAACCGCGGTCGACTACGTGGGAGTCCAGCGACATAGCCATTACGTTAACTGCTGGTTCCCAATGTTGGTGACTTTTTAAATTAAAAAGTTGACTTGTTTATTTTATATTGAGTTTCAATATTGGCTGTACTATGCAAACTTTCCTACCTCCCAAAAACTAGTTTTATGTGCTTCCCTTTTGCCTTCAATGACAAAAATAAAACAGAAACATAAAGTAAATGACTACACATAAAAGTGGAATTTTTTGGTTTGTTTTGGATTAGTCTTCATATAAATAAACCATATTTTCTCTAGTGGTTAGATTCTTTTGTTTCCTGTAGTTACATGGAGGATATGTCTATTTTTTTCTCTCTACACCTTGTTTCTTTAAACTCTATAATAAAATTATAAGTTATTAATTCATGTAAATAATTCTGAAGTTGGTATCATATTATACATATGCATACAAAAATTAATTATAATAAGCTTCAGTAAAAGCAGTACTTTTGCATAATTAAAGTTCATCTATGGATTGAGTTAAGACCCAGCTCATGTATGCAAAGTTATCCATCATGTATTGTTTTTCTGTTGGGTGTGCTCTGATACGTATGCTAAATATTTAAAGTCTGACTATTTTATAGTTTTAGGTTTTCTGATTTCTCATAATTTAATTTCATATCTCAAAAGATAAGATATTTTTATGCAAGTTATATGACTTTGTGTTACCTGGACCAGTTTTTATTGTACTTCATAATATCTACATAGGCTTTTATAGGTCTAACCTTTTTACATTGCTTTTCAAAGTATCTTCTAAGATGCAAAACTTCATGAAGTTATACAGAACATTTAAGATGATGACCTTTCTCTCGAGCATAGCTTACTCAGTTTTAAAATACATTTGATGATTAGTCAAACAACATTAATGGGCCATAAAGTGTATATAAG